TCAACAGGTATTGAAGTACTAAGTAGAAAGGTCAGTGTCAAATGATGTTATCTAAATATTTTATGCCATATGTATTTAAAGTATAATTAGTGCTTATCACTGTATTGTCTGCAAGAGCTGTTGGGCTGTTACAATATTAACAGACTGTACTAATAGTTGTAGCTAGCTCAATAAATACATAAATAATTGTATTAATTAACAATACCTTCATGATTGTGTTTCTGTTCTTATTATGATAATTCTTCCAGTACCAGCTGCTGAAAGTATATCTTTAAACCACATCCATATGGTCGTGCTCACTTTTTGCTGAGGTTTGCTATGCACACCACATTCTGCCCCTTTGTCCAGTTCAGAAGTTGAGAGGTATGACCAGGGGCGGACTGACCATTTGGAAGCTCATGCACTGCCCGAGGGCCCGGGGTCAGTAGGGGGCCCCATGAGATGTCCCTGGTACCTTTTTCATAGGCTTTTTGGAGTTTGGGCAAGGACACGATCCCCTATTACCCGGGGGACCCATGATTTGTCAGTCCGCCCCTGAGCGTGATTATTCTGCTAATGATTAGATATTCAGTAGCTGATGGATTTGTAGACTGTTTGCTCCCACCATCTAAGTGACAGCACCAGTCAGACAGACAGCAGGGATAGAACCCATTGCATCATGGGAACTCTGATTATTTTGTATTTGTTTTTACATTTTCAGACATAACCAGGCAACTCAGTATAGGAATAGGGATGGTCACACATAATAACACAAGTAGGGGAAGGTAATATATTGGGATTAAATAAAAATTTAATTTTTCACAGAAAGGCTCAACATTTTCCTTTTTTTAAGGACTTTGACACGAAATTGTTTACATAGGTTTGCTTCTTGCATTTTTCATTTCTTCTACCCTGCTCAGATGTTTTATTATAGCGAGATGCTCTGCCCTGTGCTGCTATCACAGGAGGTGCAATTTAAGACTTCAGTTATAATACCAGCACTTTTCAGATCTGGAGTTCTCAGTTCAGCTCATGACTGTCACCCAGTGGAACTGCTATATATTACAGTGTATACGTATATGGTTGGGGCTCGCTCACACCATAATGCAAGCTGCTGGAATGCATTTTATAGGGGTGGTGCAATGCACTGTTACAAAGTATTGCTTGGTTTAGTTTTTTTAACTTCACTGAAATGTCACAAAATTACAATTTATTTGATCCTATGTACAGTACCTGCTGCAAAAAGTTGATATGCAGTGATGTTCATTGAGTTATTATTATTATTATTCTACAGGATTTATATAGAGCCGACAGTTTGGTCAGCGCTTTACATTATGGAGGGAGACAGTACAGTAACAATACAGTTCAATACAAGAGGAATAAGAGGGCCCTGCTCCTTACAGCTTATAATCTAGGAGGGAGGGGATAGTGGTACAAGAGCTAATTAGCTGTGAGGGATGGAGTGGTAGGAAGAGTAGAGGATTCCAATATTAGCTGGGGTCGGGGTAGGCTTCCCTGAAGAGGTGGGTTTTCAGAGTGCGCCTAAAAGTGAGCAGAGTAGGCGATAGTCTGATAGATTGGGGTAGGGAGTTCCAGAGGATAGGTGAAGCCCTTGAGAAATCCTGGAGACGAGCATGGGAGGAGGAGACAAGGGAGCTCGAGTAGGAGATCTTGCGAGGAGCGGAGAGTGCGGTTTGGGTGGTATTTAGAGACAAGGTCGGTGATGTAATTAGGGGCAGAGTTATGAATGGCTTTATACGTCGGTGTTAGTGTTTTGAATTTTATCCGCTGGGCAATTGGAAGCCAGTGGAGGGATTGGCAGAGAGGGGTGGCAGATACATAGCGGTTAGGAAGGTGAATGAGTCTGGCAACAGTGTTCATGATGGACTGGAGTGGGGATAGCCTGCGATGAGGTAGGCCAGTGAGGAGGGAGTTACAGTAGTCAAGGCGTGATATAATAAGGGGAGTGAATGAGTTGCATTTATACACAATATACACCACCACACATGTACAGTGTGAACAGGGAGCACAAAAAACAAGTTTTTCTATGCACCCTTGTGCTGAGCCTGCATTGATCATTGCTAATCAGCTTTTGAATAGAGTGGGAATGCCAAGTTTTGTTATTTCTGTCACCACTCCACACATTTCCTGTCACTTCCTTTATTTGATCGTCAAGAAGTAAAGCGAGGGGAAATCTCCCTGACCAGAACACAGACCTGGAATCAAATTTTTTTTTAAATAGGGTCAGAACCTCTGCAGGTTTTTGTTGCTTTTTAGGTATGGCTGTAGTTAGGCTTTAATTTGGGGTGTTCATACCTGGGAGTAGCATTAACTTCCCTAACAAATGTATTCACTGAGTAAGACTAGGCTTAGTTCACACTGCTGGGACCCCAAGGTCATATGACTTGTTTGCGACTTCCTTGTGACTTTTGTGATTTAACATTGAAGTCTATGGCATTCAAGTTGCACCAAAGCCGTACATAAGTAGCGCAGGAACCGTTTTTTTTGTCGCTGTGACTTGAGTCACATTGTTTAAGATAGCACCCATTGAAGTGAATGTGTTTTGACTTGTCATGCTATTTTATGTGTCACATGTTGCATGATAAGTCACAGCCGTGTGAACCGGGGCTAATACTGCTTATTTACTAAAACAATGTATCATTTGTTCATTACTGAAAACGCTGCACATATAAAATCTAGAAAATCACTAAAATTGTTTTTCTTTGTTCAAGATAAATATAAAACATTTTTGTAGGTGGACAAGTTCAATTATTTTCTAGAAGATATTTTAATTTTTGGCTTTAACATTTTATATATGAAAAACTGTCTACAAATAATCTATTCATCGTCATAGTTATATTTTGATTCATGTAATTATTCATCTGGGAATGTGATGTATAATCATTATAGAAAACTAGTAATGAGAGAAATACAGTATGTAGGATTCCAATGCCGATTTAATTTGTGAAAATGCAAGCTGTCTGGCTGTCAACCTGATCCTTTGACTTTTTTGCTTTCTGTGATACTGACATGGAAACTTGACTTCAGTGTGACCAGTTTAATGTTTTAGAAAATACTAAATTGAATTTCAAAATAGATCTGAATGTTTGCTATTTAAAAATAAATAAATAAATGTTTGTAAAACCTAAAAGACAAAAATAATAATAAAAAAAACATTTGCTACATCACTGCAGTCTCTTCAGGGACTCTGCTGCCCAATTCTCTTCTGCTGGACTACAGCACACCTCCCCTTCTTTTTCTTAACATATAAGAATATATTTTGGACAACACAAAAGGGGCAATTCTGACAACTATTTAAAAGTCAGTCTAAAAGATGAAACTAATATGTGTGTTTAAATGACCTAGTTCAAGCTATGAACTATACCTTTAATTTAAGGGAAAGATGTGCAAACTTTATTTTACATAAGCCTGGCTTTTCAGCACTCTGATAGGCCACCCACTATAAAAAGACATCTGCTTGTGTATAAAAGGCGAAAAAATAAATGTTGTTATCTTCGTTGGGGTAAAGGTCAAACAAAAAAAGGTCAAAACAAAAAAACAAAAAGGGTGAATAAGTACAATTGTAAACGTTTCCTGGCAGTATCTGCTATATTTGTGTTTCCAGAGTCCCCCTTGCACTCCTCTATGCTATCAATCACTGTGCATGTCTCTGGTCTTATCATGCAATTAGCAATGTGACACAGGTATGCAGAAAGTGGCTGGTACAACCCAGCTGGTATTGGTATTTAAATGTTTCAATATCTCTGAATCCAGAGCCATACAACTTCATATTTGTGGAACTGGAAGTGCCAAAATACCCAGAGCTTATACATGAGATGTGAATTATTGACTGGGATAAAAGACCTTTTATATTGACATAGGTTTACTTTCTATACTCATGGTCTTTTTAACTCACCAGCTACTTTACTAGGCACACCTTGCTAGTGTCAGGAAAATATCCCCCACACCTTTACACCACCAGCCTGAATTGTTGATACAAGGCAGGATGGATCCATGCTTTCATGCCATTTATGGCAAATTCTGACCCTATCATGTGAATATCGCAGCAATCAGTCTGCCCAATCTCCCTTGACCTCTTACATCAACAAGGCATTTTCCTCCACACAACTGCTGCTCACTGGGTATTTTCTCTTTTTCGGACCATTCTCTGTAAACCCTAGAGATGGTTGTGCGTGAAAATCCCGAGGGGAACAGCAGTTTTTGAAATACTCAGACCATGCTGTCTGGCACCAACAACCATGCCACGTTCAAAGTCACTTAAATCCCCTTTCTTCCTCATTCTGATGCTCGGTTTGAACTTCAGGAAGTCTTCTTTACCATGTCTACATGCCTAAAAGCATTGAGTTGCTGCCATGTAATTGGCTGTTTAGCAATTTGTGTTACTAAGCAATTGAACATGTGTACCTAATAATAGTTGGCTGGTGAGTGTACAGAGTTCCATTGGACCAGCTTGGACCAATGTAACTATGTATATTACATGTCTGGCTGATGCTCCAGAAGCTGAAAATGACTGAGGTAGACACCACTACTGCAGTGATCACCACTTGCTTCCGTGTCCTGTGCCGAGCAGCTGCGCTCCAGCCTAATAAACGCAGGAGGTCAGCCGCTTAGCAGAGGTGCCATCCAAAGAATGCTTTATATTTTCTGAATGATGCAAAGTATTCTCTGATTCCAAAAGGCGGTGAGGCGGGGTGGTAATGCTCTCCACCCCATCCATTCAGAACATGTAAAACATTCTCTGTTAGGTGCTCATGCTGAATGGCCAACCTCTCGTGCTCACAATGCATCAAGATGGTCACTCAGCAGGGACTTAGAAGAAAATGAAGATCACTGGAGTAGCGATGTCTACTTCAGTAGCTTTCAGCTTCAAGGGGCATCAACCATGTATAGAATTTACATAGTTACACTGTCCATGCTGGACCAACGTAACTATGCATAGTATAGCCATACCTGGAATTCTTATTTAAAGTGTATGTATAGTACCCCTGTCAGGTGTTTATTGTTGTTATTCACACTCTCTTTGTCTTGATGCCCATTGTCCCCAATGCAGAAAGTGATGGCAAGTACTAAATTGTAAAGTTGTCACTGAAAGAAGAAGTATGGGCAAATCTTCCAATGGAGATTCCTGTTCTGGTGACAAGTGTCCAAGATGAGAGCTTCTCTTATGCTGTAGAGGTTTCCTCTCACTTCTATGGTGTCTCAGGGACAGGAAGTCAAAGGAAATTTTTACAACAGGCCAAAAAGCAAAGAACAAAGAGCGGTCAAGAGCGGTCAATATTACTTAACTGCAGTTATGTTATCTGAGTGTCATAAGTGAGACAACAGATAACAATAGAGAATACATACTGCATGCATGTAAATTGTCAATTACAATACCTTCCATTAGCTGCTATGTCTTACCTGTTGTCATAGTTGTTTTCCAAATCTGCCCAGCTGATCAAATCAATAGGCTTATCACTGCAGAATATAAACCATAAACTGATATAAGCAACACCACACAAAACCATGTTGTTGAAAGGTACTCCTGTTCAGACACACAATTACTTTCTATTAGATTCAAACGTTAGATACAAGGTATGTCCATAAATCCTGGCCAATCTGTCAAATCTTATTTTTATTAATTTGTATTTAACAAACTCAAAAGGTGTGTGTGCCCCTGCATCCAAGATGCCAAGCATACAGCTCCATATCTGTATAATAGGGCTACTCAGCCACTCCCTGGCCCTCTAGATGTGGTGATTCCAGACCATAATTTCAATAATCCTTTTGGTACAGTTTCCTTTTTACTTAACAAAAATGGTAAAGAAGAAGCCAGTGCTGAATATGAATTGACAAGTTGGACTGCAGAAGTAGAAAGGACAAGTTTTTGATGGAAGAGATTTTTTTCACATTTCCTAATCTCTATCAGGCGCCTTTTTGTGCACATAAAAAACAGTAAATTATCAAGTATAATTATTTGTAGCAGTTTAGTTTTTTTCAACTGCTTTTTGTCATGATATTTTTTTGGTGGCACTCTTACTTTGAGGTGTCTTTTGGCTTTGTTTCTGTTCGGGGAACAGGTTTTGGAGGTGTACTGGGAAAAGAAATATGACAATGGTATTTAAATATAAATAAATGACTATAAAAAAAAACTTGCACTGATTAATTAAAGGTGCTAACCAATCAAGAAGAAATCACTACAGAAATTAAATAGAGGAATATTTTCTACCTGGGCCAACTCCTTCCAGCTATGGTCTTATAACCCACACATTAAATAAAGACAACCAACTCCAAAACACAAGGAATGATCAGTACAACAATTTAGTTGGGCCTTCTTCCTTTCACCATTCTACAATTATCCTAAGGGAACAACACTTTTTGCATAAACATTGGGTAACCATGTCTAAAGGCAACCTACTAGAAGTGTCATCTATGGCCATAAGATGGTAAGAGGAACCCCCCAAAACTGTAATTATTAGGATACCTTATTTTAATAAAATCGCCATATTCTCCATTGCTCTACAACAGGCTGTACAGTAAATAAACATATACTCTTAGGGGTTTATTTATTAGGAATTCTGGAATATAGGAATTGCTGGACAGTTATCCCTCTGTATTTTACAGCATTCATCTTATTTTCAAAGGATTTGCTATATATGTAATGCGATGGCGAATCTTTGGTTTTCAAACATGAAAGGAGAATTTTGTTTGCAATTGAATCTCTTATGTTATATACTGATATGAATGGGTAAATCTTGTTTGAATTTAAAGCCTAAAGCAGCCCATAAAGCAGTCCATACATTATTCATTTTTTTTTCATTCAACCAGTTGAATTAAAAAAATTACCTGATTCCCCCATGCTCACACTCAATGTGGATGAGGGAATCCTCTTGCTGAGTTATTGTATTCTGACAGTGGGGAGCCTTCCCCGCTGTCAGAATACTCTGATCAGTGCTGCAGGCTATAGATGGCGGCACTGATCGACTGGGAAAAACCTGACAGGCTGATTGTAAAGAAGTCCATTGGTGGATCAACGTCTGTACAATCAGCTTTCCCATAGATGGACTGACATTCGTCTGGTCTCTGCTGAACCAGCTGAATTTCGATTCATGTATGGGTGCCTTTCATTTAGGTTTTTATTTCCAGCACAAGGCACGGTTTGTACATTCAGTGAGAAGAGTCCCTTGTACTGGTTACTGCACACTTAGTTGAAATCTTCAGTCCCCTGCCCCCACTATACCTGTGCATGGCCGCTGATAATGAGGGGTGGAGGACCTTTAAAATGGCCACAGATGCTCCAAGAAGCCCATCCATTTACAGGAGCAGACTAGCCTTTTCCTGATGTGGAAAGGTTGGATTATTTATGCAAATAGAAATGCAAAGCTTTTTTGAGGGGCCTTATAAGCTGGTTCTTGCTCATGCTCCCTCCCCTCATCTTTTTCCATCTATTACTCCCTCCTACCAAGGTTATTATTGTGACATCCTAATTCAGCCCTGTGTTATACAGATGCAGAAACATATCACAGCTACCATCTACATGTAACTTATGGACATTACAATGAAGGGACATATTGACCTGGGGAATCAAAATGAATCTTATACTGTCTGTACTCAATTTAAGGCAGTTTGATCTCCCCACTCCCCTGCAACAGGGGTGCATGCTGTTTTAATCAAATTATGTGAGTATAAACCAATTGATATAAAAAAATGTTTATATTAATAAACTATAAGTCTTTGAAGCATTGTATACACATAAATCTCTAGAAGTTAATATGTTATATTTGTATGGCAAATTTTTACTGTTTTTGAAGAAGCGCATTGATTGTGAAATGCGCCGAAAAGCACAACTGTCTTCCTGGTATATCTATTGCTAAACTGCATACCTACATGTTGAAAAAAATCTTTATTTATATCTAAAAGGGTTTTCTTCCTCCATTACAACCATGATTGAACATGTTCTATGGAGTATTTTACTTTATACTAGGAGATAAGCGAACAGGGACAATATTTCTGGAATTGTATAGTTGTTTTTAATCAAACACATCATAATGTTATCTAAGTTTTATGGAAGAAATTAGTTTGTTTTTATACTAATAAAAAAAAGTATAGTTTTTTTTTTTTACAAAATACAAATTTGTGATGTATATCTGGCACCCAAAAAGTTCCACACATAATGATTGTGTAAATTTAGGATATAAATGTGACAGAGAATCTGGTCTTTAATTGAAATCTGTTATGTTGACTCTTATTTGTCTTAAATGTGATGGGCAATTCTTGTATATGGAATCGCTCCACTACATAGTATGCTGATGGGCAAATCCTTTTAGAAAATAACTGAATGCTGTAAAATACACTCAGCAAACATTTCCTGCGTGAATCACACAGCTAATCCTTTATCCACAGACCCCTTACAGGGAATGTTAATGTTTTCGATTTTTGGATAGAGTAGGGAAGAGTTAAATCCTTACACTTATGCTCTCTAAGGAGAATATTGAAGTTTATTTATTCAATTTTTATCTTGTCCAGCATAAATCAAAGGAACACCTCTGTTTTAAGACTAACCATACTGTATTCTAAAACCATTATACAGGTGTATTCCACAAGAAGATCCTAGACTTTGTACAAATACTTCAAAGCTTAAGAAATTCACACGTTAATCCAAAAACAGGCGGCGGTCATGCTACAAAGAACTAAGAAGAAACAAGACTCTGCAAAGAAAACACAATGAAAGCAAAATATCATCCTGACTGTAGACAGCAACTCATTGTGCATACAGAATCTGCACGAGACATAAAAACACAACACCACTATAAGGGCACTTGTGTTCAGCTCCTTGGCAGCAGTGTTAGGCTAGGTTTACACATGCGGCAGACCTTACCATCACGATTGACAGGCAGTGAGAAGACAATATGTCACCTCATAGTCGGTTTAACCCTGGGAAGCCTGCATCTACAACTGTCATTCACTTGAAAGGGTTGTGTTAGGTGGTGGTACTGCCCAGGGGCGGACTGAAAACTCATGGGGCCCCTGGGCAATAGGGGATCATGGGGCCCCTGTGTCCTTGCCCAAACCCAAAAAAGCCTATGAAAAAGGTACCAGGGACATCTCATGGGGGCCCCCTACTGACCCCGGGCCCTCAGTCAGTGCCTGAGTTTCCAAATGGTCAGTCTGCCCCTGGTACTGCCTACCAAACACAACAGGGGGTATCAGTTTTGATTTACGACATGTGTACATGCCTGTCCAGCTGCCTCTCCAGCTTAAAGTGGAACTTAACTATAAAAAAAAAACTACGAGCAGGCACTACGAGCAGAAGAGACATGCCTGCTTGCACTCTTCTACTGAATGCACACAGTGCTGCACACGCATGCATGTTCAGCATGCATTCCCAGCAACACCAGGTGTGCTGGAATGACAGACTCCCATGAATATGTGTAGCATGGCATCATGCCACTACCGGCAAATCAACAGGCTAAAAACCCAGCACCTGGAGGCAACTGGGGAAAAGATGACCGTGGCTGCTTTAGATTTGCTTTAAGAGGAGAGGGTGAGGGGGGTGGTAAAAACGCAGCTTAACCTCCTATAAATACTACCCCTGGACACAAGTGTAAACAAGCCCTAAGTGGGGGTTGAAGGGCAAGTAGAATATTACATTTGTTTGCCATTATTTATTTATTTCAGGTACTTATATAGCGCCGTCAATTTACGCAGCGCTTTACATATATATATATATTGTACATTCACATCAGTCCCTAACCCTCAAGGGGTGTACAATCTAAGGTCCCTAACTTACATTCATACATACACATACTAGGGCCAATTTAGACAGGATCCAATTAACCTACCAGCATGTCTTTGGAGTGTGGGAGGAAACCGAAGTACCCGGAGGAAACCCACGCAGGCACAGGGAGAACATGCAAACTCCAGGCAGGTGGTGCCATGGCTGGGATTCGAACCAATGACCCTAGTACTGCCAGGCAGAAGTGCTAACCATTTAGCCATTGTGCTGCCATTGCACTATTCCTCTTTTTTTTTTGTTCTATCGCACCTTCTCTGCATGATATGACTCATTAGTAAATTAGCCCAAATGATTCTTATTGATAAATGATTGATAATTTGATATGATTATTGATATTGATTATGTGAAAAAGCAGTATAAATTAGCAATCAGATTAGATTGGAATGATTATATATGAAGCGAGTAATCAAGATGCATTCTAGTGAAGGGAAAGATTCCAATCACGGAATTACATACTTATAAAAATAAAATAGTAATAATGTGAGGCAATATTTTTACCTATCCTCTCTGATTATAGTGATTTTTCCAGGTCCAGCCTGCATTATGGGTGAATTCTCTGTGAGAGTTCTGGAGATGCTGGAGGATGTCAGTGTTGGGATGTCTGGACTAGCTTTGTTACTATGAAAAAAAGCAATTCTTAAAAGTTGGATTTGACAAGACAAGACAGGAACAGATCAAAAATTACCTGTCAGAAACGTTGGTCATTCAAAAAGAGAGTATATAAAAAAAAAATGCATAAGCAGAGGTTAATGTCAAAGAAAAATGATCAAGTTATCAGTACATCTGGGGATGAATTCAACCTAAGCCCTCATGCACGCTGGTCGTTTTGATGACGCTGGTAATGATAGCTGTGTAAAGTCATGTTAAAAACATGAGTTTTTCAGCTTTTTGTAGCGTTTTTAAAGTAGCGTTTAGTAGCGTTTTCCTGCGATTGCGTTTTTTAGCATTTTATTTTTACCAAAAAACATTAAATGCCGGTTTGTGGTGTTTTACTGCATTTTTCAGCGTTAGAGCGTTTTTACAGCTAAAAAACTCTTTTAGAAACCCACTAGTCCAGCCAAAAAACTTTGATTACAGTCTATGTGTGCATGGACACATAGGATAAGATGCTGGGGGGTTTACTAGCTGTAGAAAAAAAGGTCAAAAGCCAAAAACAGCAGCTGTAAAAACGTCCAGTGTGCATGAGGACTATGTCTCCACTTTTCTGGTTAGAGTAAAAGCTGAACTCAAGGACAAATTTGTCTAAATATAAGAGCCATGCCTATTATCTCTTAAAGTGGTAGTAAACACATACACATTAAGAAAAAAAAAAAAATCTCTGTGCAAGTTAGGAGCATAATGTGCAGGGCGCCCTGTTGCCACTGCAGAGGCTTCCATCTTCGCCCAGTCTTCCTTCCGGGGGTTCAGGGCAGCGGCCGTTTGAATGGCCCGAGCCACAATGATGTCACTCTCGCGCATACACACAGGAGTCACGGCCACAGCACAGAGCTCTGAAGTAATGGCACCGGTATGCCATTCTTTCAGAGTGACTTTACCAGCTGGAGCAACACTGAATAGCTCCTAAATGGTGCATGTTTGGAGATATTATTATAAACTTACCTGTAGGTACAAGTCTCCCCGCGGTGTTTACTACCACTTTAAATCTTACAGTGTGTTGTCTGTTAACTCCAGATCTGTGCAGTAATCCAGAGTCAAACTTTTCCTTTGTGTAGGAGCTTCCTGTAATAAAGACTGGTCATTGCTGATCTTTCTTCTTCGGCAGGTTGACTGGTCTTTTCTTAGCCCATCCTGTAGTTTTCTGCAGGCCGCCTATAGTGGGTGGGGCTTGCTAGGTCCCTCCCACAGCTCTGCCCTCTGTACAGGCATTGCACAGCATAGTGAGTATGTAACCACTACTTTTCAAGGTAATAACTGGGTTTTCAAAGACAATTGGTGCACAAAAAGTGGATTTATATTCTTTGTGGCTACTGATGAGCATATTTAAATTAAAGTTGTTGTGCCTGGAGTTCAGCTTTAAACTTAGACCAGACCGATCCCCACCTACTAAATCTCTTTTTGGTCCCTTAATATTATGGGCAGCCCCACTCGCTAATAGAAAGGCTTGGCAGGTGTGAAGGAGTGAAACCAAGCTCAAGTTTTACAGGAAAGGTCTATATTTTCATAATACTGTAGCTGCCTATATCTTTGCATCAGCTGAACATTTTGACATTGTTTTTCATTAAAGGTTACCTCTGATTATGTATTTATTTTTATCATTTGCTCACTTTGAATTTCTCACGTTTAATTAAAAGAGTAGCTAAAGGCTATAGCCCCCTGTATTTCATACAGCAACTTTTTAAATAATATTTAGCCCGAATTTAAACTGGGCTTTCCTGTTTGTTGCATATCAGACAATAGTTTTGGCTGGATTACAGTGGTAGTAAAATCCTCAAATCTAAAATCAACTGATAGGCAGGGTTTTTATTACGGAAGAGACACTAGAGATTATTGTTGTCATAAATATCACCCCTGCCTGTCAGCGAGTAATATGATCTGAGCCACACATGAACAGCTCAGATCACATTTATGTGCCGCGGCAATGTGACTCTCATGCCCATGCGTGGGAGTAACATCACCTGTGGCACGGTCATTCAAGTGGCTGAAGATAGGGAACACCGCAAGGAAGATGGGGGTAGATGGAAACTGCCAGGGACCATCGAGAGTCAGCGCTCCTTCCGCAGGTAAGTCTGTCATAATGTACTAGTATGCAGTCCATACCAGTACAATATGACCTAAACCTGCATGGGGAACCATTTTTTTAAAATAATGAACAAGACTTTACTACCGCTTTAAGCAACCACCTTATGTCCATGAGGCATTAGTCACTGCTGATCAAGAGTCATCAGGGGAATGGTAAATGGACAGGTTAGAAGGTTTGTCCAGTCAATTATTTTCCCTCTCATAAGCCAATGCAGATATATGCAGCATGCTTCTGCTGCCTTGCTTCATAGAGATGGAAACAGATGCTTGAGAGCAGATCATGCCTGCAAGTCCAACCAACCTCTAGTGTCTATGGCCTACTTTAGAGGGTGGTCAGATGTGCAGATACAAACCGACACTCCCTGGCTAAACTTTCTGCAGAGCTCTTCATAAATGTGTACACTTGCCTTACCTGAGCATACGCATTTATGTCATTGAAAATTGGAGGGAGCAGGAGAAGAAGATAGATGCTCCCGATGCTGCTTTTCTGTGGGGTAACAGCAGCAATCGAACAATGATTTCTAAACTATCCAACTGAATGCTCCTGAAAGCAGTTTCTCATTGGGTATGTGCTGCAGTCATTATAACGAGTTGGATCTGGCTAACGGCACCTCATGTCTATTTGCATTTTTAGTAAATCTAATTATTCTGCTAGATAGTATGTATCAGAAAATAAATATGAATTTTAAATAAACAGAAATAATATTTTATTCTGTATAAATTTGAATGAAATAGTATCACAAGCTGATAAATAAAAAGGAGAACTGGTTATGTTTTGAGCTGCATGATCTAAGATCTTCACTGTGTTCACACTCTGCACTCCCATGTGGTTATATCAGGCAGCAGGCAATTTCTGCAAATGGCCAGGTCTGTGTATTTGTATACTGAAGTACTACATAACATATCAGTTTTGTAAACCTGGTGGTGAGATAGAGCTTTAGGCTAGGTTCACATGAATGCAGTTTGCATTTGACCTGTTTCTGCATTGCATTTTGTGTTGCATTTTTGCACCTATATTTTCAACTTGTTTTGCAGGGTTTTTTAAAAAAAAATCTTGTTGCTAGGCAGATTTAAACAGCTAAACGCATAAAAAACGTGGCAAAAACGCAGCAAAAATGCACTACATGCTTTTCTGCAGCATTTCCATTGAAGTCTATAGAGCCAAAAAATGCAACTTTTTGCGTAAAACGCACTTGGAGAAAGCACTGAGATGTGAATGTGTCCCATATGAAATCATGTTATATGGACTATATATGGACTATAGTGCGTTTCTGCAAACCGCTGCGGAAAATGCTCAGTTGTGAACCTAGGGTTACACATGGAATCACTGACCTGGAACAAGCATGCAGCAGGTAATGTCAGGTCCTGATCTGAGTACTTGTTCTTTGCACTAAATAAGCCCAGGAAGTCTGTTGATCATTACATAATGGTGGTTATTGCTAAAATTGGAGAGTGCAAAATCTGCTGCAACTCTGCATAGAAACCAATCAACTTCCAGGTTTTATTGCCAAAGCTTAATTGAACAAACTGAAGTTAGAAGCTACACAGCTGTACCAGATTCTGTGTTTTCCAGTTTTAGTAAATCTACCCCTATGTGTCATAATGTAACTATAGAAAATGTTATCAAGACCTGCATTCAGAGAACAGAAAAAATGCAACAACTGGTACACAGTGGTAAATGATGCTCACCTAGGTGAATCTGTTTAGCTTTTACAACAGCAATAGTTTTGCAGATGAAAAGTGATGAATATTGAG